ATGAATAAAACTCCAAAATTCGGAAACGGTAAATCCGAAATTTATAAAAAACGAAAGGGAGCTCACGTCAATAGATATTAACAATTCACCAAAGTTTCATGCATATTGGTAAAAGCGTTTTTGAGTTAATGTCCGACATGTTGATGACGGACGGACAGACGGACGGTCAACGGTATACCATAATACGTCCCGTAAACAGACGTATAAAATGCTTATTTTTGGCCCCTAATTCCTTAACTGTTGGTACCTTCCTTTTGTGGTATTGAATAGAACCTTATGGTAAAATTTCATAGAGATCCATTCACTTAAACTAAAGTTATTGTGCGAAAACCAATGTGTTTTTCGGACGACGACAACGACGCCAACGTCATACCAATATACGACTGCAAAGTTTTTTTGCGGTCGTATAAAAATTACTTGATATTTAAAAAAAAATAAAAATTTTGCAATTTTTCCATTTATAAAGGGGCATAACTCGATAATGATTAAAGTAATGCCACCAAAATTCAACTTGATCTGTGTTTTGTGGTAAAAAGCATTGTGTATAAGTTTCATAACATTTGGTTGAGGCAACTTAAGTAAGAGAACGGAAACTAAAAATTTTGCATTTTTTTCATTTATAAAGGGCATAACTTGAGAATGTTTAAATTGACCCTACCAAAATTCAAACTTGGATCTTTATTTTGTGGAATAAGCATTGTTTATAAGTTTCATAACATTTGGTTGAGGCAAACTTAAGTTAGAGAAAGGAAACTAAAATTTTTGTAATTTTTCCATTTATTAAGGGGCATAACTCTAGAACAGTTAGAGTGACGCTACCAAAATTCATACTCGATCTGTATTTTGTAGTAATAAGCATTGTGTATGAGTTTCATAACATTTGGTTGAGGCAAACTTAAGTTAGAGAAAGGAAACTAAAAATTTTGTAACTTTTCCATTTATTAAGGGGCATAACTCTAGAACAGTTAGAGTGACGCTACCAAAATTCATACTCGATCTGTATTTTGTGGTAATAAGCATTGTGTATGAGTTTCATAACATTTGGTTCAGGCAAACTCAAGTTAGAGAACGGAAACCAATTTTGGGACGTACAGACGTACGTACGTACAGATAACAGACGGACAAGGGTAAAACTTAATGCCCATTCTGCTATGGTGGGGGCATAAAAATCTGAACTTTTTTTTCAAGTAGTCACTGAACCATGAAAATGAGGTCAAGGACAATGGACATATGACAGACGTAAGCTTCATAACATAATGCATCTATATACAAAGTATGAAGGATCCAGGTCTTCTACCTTCTGAAATATTAAGCTTTTATGAAGTTTTTTAATGCCGCCGCCAGATCACTTTCCCTATGTCAAGCTTTCTGCAACAGAAGTCGCTGGCTTGACAAAAAACTAACTATTATCAGGAAAGCTTTTAGTTTTCATTAATGAATTGCCAACCACAAAATGATGTCAAAATAAATTTTACTCTGTCTCGCACACATGCATAGGTGGCTGAGTGGTCTAAGAAATTCATCTATTGTATCACTAGCATCAACAATGAGGTTGTGAGTTCTTTGACTTCCTCCACCAATAAAAACAGACAGCCACAATATAGCCAATAGTGCTGATAGAGGGGCTTAACACCAACAATCAATCAAACATGTATACCTTGCAATGATTTATATACAAAATAAAGTTGACCTTATGCTCAAAATCCCTGAAAAAAATCTCATAACAAAATTTTTTTTCATGCTTTAGATTTTTATGCAATCAATGAACCAAGAAAATAAAGTCAAGGACAACTAACACATGGAAGATGAAAAGATCAGACCATAAAACATGTAATATTCCTGCTAAATATACAGCATTTTACAAAAAAAAAGCTAAAGCTGTTGCTAAGAAACTGTGAAAATTTATAATAACAGCGATCCTTGAGTTCAATGTCATGCACTGCAAGTCCAAATACAATTGACCTTATACCCATATACTGTAAATTCAGAAATTATTGCGTGCAATAACTTTTGCGATTTCGACATGCCTAACCAAAATTTAAAATAAAATTAGATGTGATTTAACCATAGTTTTCTAAAATTAGATATGATGTAATTAGATATGATGTTATCTTTATTTTCAAATTATAATCAAATATAATTAATAGTTTTCAAATAAATCTGTCACTCCAATTATAATTGGGTGATTGACAATTACCAGATGGTGTGTTATCTTGATAAAAGGTGAAAATCATTTAAAAACACTTAGTGTAAACAAAATTTATATATATACAATCATGAATGTTAATAGTTCCCAATATTTTTTTCTTTCATTTGTAACAAATTTATATAGATCTGCAACTTATCTATGAATGTCTATAAGTTATCTACACAATGTTATGTAATGAAATATATCCTTTAATAAAAATAGATTATTATCTAATGAATTTGCAAATCTGGAACCCCAAACAGGATCAAGTAAAAATTAAAATAAACACACACAACAATAAAATGCTCCGCTGGGCGCAGCTTGATACGACCGCAGAGGTCGAACCCTGAACAGTTGGGGCAAGTATGGACACAACATTCAAGCTTGATACAGCTCTGAATTTGGATTGTGATTAAATATTTGACACAGCATAGGTTTCTGACACAGAATGAATGTGGTCTAATAACTTAAAATTTTTTAATTTACCTATTATGGTCCAATATCCAAAATCTAAATACATGGTTAGATTCAGCATATCAAAGAACCCCAAGAATTCAATTTTTGTTATAATCAAACTAAGTTTAATTTCTGACCCTTTGGACCTTCATGTAGACCAATTTAAAAAACATGACCCAAAATTAAAAATCTAAATACACGGTTAGATTTGGCATATCATAGAACCCCAATAATTCAAGTTTTTATGAAATCAAACAAAGTTTAATTTTGGACCCTTTTGACCTCAATATAAACCAATTTGATAGCGGGGCCCACAAATAAAAAATCTAAATACATTGTTAGATTCAGAATATCAAAGAACCCCATATATTCAATTTTTGTTGAAATCAAACAAAGTTTAATTTTGGACCCTAATTTGGACCAACTTGAAAACTGGGCCCAAAATCAAAAATCTAAATACATGTTTAGATTCAGCATATCAAAGAACCCCATATATTCAATTTTTGTTAAAATCAAACTAAGTTTAATTTTGGACCCTTTGGACCTTAATGTAGACCAATTTGAAAACTGGAAAATACACGGTCAGATTCGGCATAACAGTTGAATAAATGTGGTCAAAGTTTTTACAAATCTAATGCGCCATACTGTGGAATTAAAGATTACTTCTTGAAGTTTTTCAATATTTGAAATTTGAAAAAAAAATAATATTTGAAGAATAATTCTTTTTAATTTCTGAAATCTGAAATAAAAAAAATTGACCCCCCACAATTTCTTTTTACCACCCCCCCCCCCCCCTTTTTTTCCCCAAAAAATTCTTTCCCTCAAGATATGGTCATAATCTCAATTCAAATTAAATTTCCAATGGAGTATGCAACCATAATTACCCATTTAAATTTACCATAGTGCTAACTTAATCTATTTTAGAATAGAATTTAAAATATGGTGTCAAATCTTTCATATGAATTTTTTTGTAAAAAAAAAGATGCAACATTTGCAGATATTTTTACTGGTCTTCCTTTATAAATATGCATTTCTTTAAACATAATTTAAAAGCAGTGTAAGGGTAGTAATCAAAACTTATTTGGATAACCTCCCTTACACTGTTTTAAATTGTCTTAATTGTTCATTAACCATTACTTTATACATAATTTAAAAGCAGTGTAAGGGAGGTAATTCAAATGATGTATTTGATTTATCTCCCTTACACTGCTTTAAATTATGTTTTGTACTAAAGTATTTGTCCATTAACCAGGACAACCTTGTTTTTCCCCCTTTTTTGCCCCTAATTCCTAAACGGTTTGAGCCATAACCCCCCAAAGCAAATCCTAACCATCCCTTTGTGATATGGAAACTTGTGGAATAATTTCAGAGAGATCCATACACCGTTCCACAAGTTATTGTCTGGAAACTAGAAAATGCTTATTTTTGGCCCCTTTTTGGCCCCTAATTCCTTAACTGTTGGTACCATAACCCCCAAAATCAATCCCAACCTTCCTTTTGTGGTATTTAACCTTATTGTAAAATTTCATAGAGATCCATTCACTTAAACTAAAGTTATTGTGCGAAAACCAATGTGTCTTCAGACGACAACGATGACGACGACGCCAACGTCATACCAATATACGACCGCAAAATTTTTTGCGGTCGTATAAAAATTAAAAGTTTTTTAAAAAACGAGTTATTTCCCTTTGTACAGAAATGGATTAATTCATCAAAAATTGAAATCTTGGGAAAGGGCTATAACTGAACAACGACAAAAGCTAAAATCGTGAAATTGGAACTATACCTTCATTAAGTCACAGGAAACAACATATCTAAATTTGAAAAAATTTCTTCAAAGCATTTTCATGTAAATGAACAGACACTGTTTGGCAGCAGCCGCTCGCCTTACATCCCCAAATCAATAATCGATTTTTACTTCGAAAATCCGGTTAATACTTATTGCAATTGCAATAAACTTTACATACAAATAAGTGTGTCAGATTTCAGATGCAATTTCTTTTTATTGCGATACTCATCGTCATTTTGAACTTGACCTAGTTTTAGATCTCATACAACAGGAACTGTCTTCAGAGCAAAACTTGACGAACAATGAAAATAAGGTAAAGAATCAACTCAAATTAACCAGACTGATATTTCAGGCAAAAAGCATTCTACAAGTAAAATTGAAGGCAGGAAATCAGATAAATATTGATTGTAAAGTTACTATCACTACTCAGTTAATATCATGATAATAAGTTGGCAATATTATTTGAAACATTTTTGAAACTAGAGAGAATGTGACCAAATTTGATTTTACTCTGGCCTTTTGGATCTGACAATTAATTCTAAATGCAGCAACAACAATAAAACAGTGTTTGTAAAATATATGTTATTTATTATAAATGATTTATTTACAGCATAATATATATAAAAAAGGTATATAATACAAATGGCACAACCTCAATTACAGAATTTCACAACCTCTGGAACAATAAATCATACCAGAAGAGGAATCAGATATTAAATTAAATATTTTGAAAATATCTATACTCTTAATTCAATTGGTCAGTAAAATTTTATAAATAGCTATCATATAGCTTGCTGTTCGGTGTGAGTTAAAAAAGCTTGGATGTACAAATTATTCAATGATGAGGGGACAGAAGGGACAACTGTAAATACCCCTCCTATTGAGGGAATGCCTCAGGTCAATATTTATCTAGTCCAAATCAATCCTTTTTTTTTAAATTTTTATCAGATAACACTGAATTTATGGATTATGTAGGTAAATGTTTCCTTGTCTGAGTAAAGAATAATATAAATTATGCTACACTTTAATACAGAATATAATTCATAAAGATAGGTATTCGACCACGAGTCCAATCTGAAACCTAAAAAAGCAGATTTTTGATGTTATGTATTTACACATACAATGATTTGAAAGCTGTAACTAATAAAGGTTATCCATGCTTTAGATATATCAGAATAGTTTCTGTTGATACAATTCTAAGCTCCTTATCAATATTACGTATGAACTTTTTACAAGATATGGAATGATTCTTGACTGTAGTCTGATTGGAATGATTTAAGTGAATGGTATCATGGTGACTACTGGATTATGTACAACAATTAATTAAGTGGGAGGTCAATATAGTCTTGTATCACAATGAAAATTTTAAACAGCCAATTATTAACCATAAGAGAACATGCATATCAATACATTATATAATGAGAAATTAGAGTGTTTTCCATAATGCCATACCTTCAAATGATGCTACAATGCCTATTTTTATCAAATTACAACATACAATGTAGAAGGTATATGTGTTAAACTAACTTTTTGGCTAGTGGTCTTTTCTATTTCAAATTACTTCAAGAGCTGTATAAAGTATATATGCAGAGTTGAAATTAAATATACCTTGGTCATATTCATTAATATAAGGTAAAGTCAACTGAAGTGAATTGTTTCATCTGATACTGATTTCAATTCCTTACAATTATCTTAACAGCTCTAGATCAAATTCAAATTTATGATGACCAGTTGCAACACAGCATTCATTAAAATGGTTTTGTTTCTATTTTTCTAGATATAACCTACCCATAAATATGTGAATTTAAGCTTAAAGGAAGTTTCAGCAAACCCCCAAAAAGTTTTAAAAAAAAAGAATGTGCATACAGGTCATCTTGTAGCATATCTATTTAATTTTTTAAATATCAATTTGAAATTATTAAAATTTGGTAAAAATGTCTAATGATCACCAGAAGGTTCTCCGTGGGGACTATACTGTCACACTCAGAGCGATTCTAATTCACGGTGTATACAAATGTGTTGATGTAGCACTTCTTCATCATGTCCACAAATATTTTACATATAACATTGTCATAAGTGGCAATAAAATGACATGAATGTTGCTGTGGAAATTAGATGCACCATTACAACCCTCTTGATTATCACAATGACAAATCCGCACTTTCACCTTGTATGTTCCTGTTTTTTCCAAACAACGTCGACCTTCATCACCACCTACAACACCACTAGGAGCGCACTGTCGAACGTATCGTAACTGCCATTCATCATTGTAATAAACTGAAATAGAAAATGAAACTTGATGATGTGTCAGTAAAACATGGATGTCAAGCTGTTAATAAGAAACAATTTTGGAGAAGTAGAAATTTGACTATATTAACGTTACCATGGACAAATAATTACATCATGATCCATCATCTATGAAAATGAGGTCACACCATCCCTTTTAACAGTTCCAACTTTGAGGTATCATCTAATAAAGACTCAATGTTGCTATGATTTCCTATTTACATTAAGATACTTTTAACCTGAACACTATTGACCTAATATTAACAGGCAGTAACTGTGAGTTCTCTTAGGTAGGTGCTTTGTGTTTTTATTAGTTGTTTTTATTCTGTTTGTTCTTAGTACAGATATGATGTCTATACCTCCTTTTTCATAGCATTTGTTCTATCTTTATACTGTTACACCACTGTCCCAAGATTAGATACAGTGAGGTTTGGGTGCTCACAATTGTGTTTAACCCCATCAAATTCATTCAAAAGACTGTCCAAAGTAAGGAACATGTAATCCAGTGGTCATGGTTCGTTTCTGTCTACTGTATGTATTCATTATCTTTAGCATAAATCAAGCTGTTGGGTTTCTCTTTTGAATTATTTCACATTTTGTAATCTCATGGCCTTTTATACCTTACTACAAGTATAGAGTATGGATTTTGCTTATTGATGTTATTGGGCATTGATCTATCTAAAATACTATTTGGTAAATTATAAAATTAATGTATTTTTAACAGTTCATTTGCTTTAACCTCATACCTTCTTGTACAATTTTTCTACACATTGTTACACCTTCCGGACACTCAGATAAATGCCATGTTTGATTATTGAAGTGGTCTGCACAATCTTCCTGCATGTATGAATTGCACTGATAACATCGGAAAGAAAATCCTGAAAATAAATAAAAAGTTTTAAAAGTTATATATTTATTTTACACCAATTTCACTTATTCATTTCGTAGTAAAATAAGCTCACACTGTGAACTAATAATTTGTGAATGCATTCTTGTGTTTAAGGTTTCTTTATGTTCCCTTTTATATATGCATCAAAATACCTACCCATAATTTTTTATTAGTAAATCTTCACAAAGTTGAAGGCCTCATTGTAAAATAATTTAGCAAAATAATACATGTACTGACCCTACTATTCTTAAGGAGGAGGTTCAAACCCTAAACACACAATTTTCACATACCTTTTTTGGCCTTAATACTAAATAGTCATGACAGTTATTTTTAGTAACAAACTTATATTTTATGAAATATATGTTAGAGTACCAAAGAAATTATCTACCATGAATGTTTTTGTTATCAATTTATTAAGTGTGTCAGATCGATTGTCAAACGTCGTGCCACATCATTGTGAACAAACAGGAGGTTTAAATTAAATAAAGTCACATTCAGTTGATTTCAGTAATGTAACATATTTTTGTTATCAAATCATAGTTTAAGTGATGTAAAATTGGATATTTTCTTCATTTCCTAAATAATATGCTATGATGATGACAACCCCTTAGTAGTATAAAAAGTTGACAAATGGGCAGCACAGAAATATATAAAAAAAAACAACTACAGAAAGAAAAGTATGAAGTACAAAAAAATGTGTAGCATCGCAGATTGTTGGTGAATACATGATATCAAGAGTTGAAAAGCCCTGATTCCGGATCCTGCGCCTCAACAAGTATACCATTTCCATTCTCAGTTTTATACCTAGGTACCATAAGAAAGTACTTCCAGCATCTGAATACCATATGATAAAACCAACAAGTAGTGTCAAGTTTGGCTTTAGAATCAAGATCAGTATGCAGACAATAATGGATTGATCACAAAAGTGCATAGATTTTTGACATTATCACTGTCACATGACATTTGTGTGTAAAATAAAATCGGACTATTTTTTTCACCATGTCAGAGTTCTCGAAAAAGTGGTGGTCTGAATATTTTGACCACCAAAATTTTGGTATTTTGCAATAGAAATAACAGAGGGGGCCAGCAGAATTACTTTAAGGACCACCAGGGGAAAAATGATTTCGAGAACTCTGCCATGTTCACAACAAGAAGTAAATTATAAACTAGATGTGTCGGAACGATACGAATAGCCCAGTCTCAAAAAGTTGAAAAATCTTCAATTTCAACAACACTTGTGGACACAAACATGCATGGATAGTATCCAGCTCTCAAGACCAATACTAGTTTGATGAAAAATTTCCTTGATCAATGAGTAGTTAAATTTCAGCAAACAGGAAGTGGATGTACTGCAGATCTAACAAGATGTGTTGAAACGACATGAAAATCAGCATAGCGGAACGAAACCTAAACTTGATCTGTAACTCATCATGGTAGACTTACATATAAAAATTCTGAAGGCATATAGAAAAAAAGTCTGTATAACTGTGCTTTCAACAATTTTCAAGTTCAAAACCCGTAATTTCGGCAAAAATCAGCAGAGCGGTACGAAACTTAAACTCTATCTGTAACTCATCATGGTTAACTCACAGTATAAAAATCAGCCCAATATCTGAAGGCGTTTAGAAAAAAAGTCCAGATAACTGTAATTTTCAACAATTTATCGAAGTCTAAAGTCCGTAATTTCAGGAAAAATTAGCAGAGCGGAACGAAACTTAAACTTGATCTGTAACTCATCATGGTTAACTCACATACCAAAAATCAGCCCAATATCTGAATGCGTTTAAAAAAAAAGTCTGTATAACTGCGATTTTCAACAATTTATCAAAGTCTAAAGCCCATAATTTTAGCAAAAATTAGCATAGCGGAACGGAAGTTATACTTGATCTGTAACTCATCATGGTTAACTCACATACAAAAAATCAGCCCAATATCTGAAGGCATTTAGAAAATAAATGGGGAATGTGTCCATGGGACACAGATGATGCCCTTGCTTGCATATAATGTTATAAAGAGACATAACTCAAGAACTGTAAAAGTGACGCTACCCAAATTTGTACTTGATCTGAGATTTGTGGTAATTAGCATTGTGTATACGTTTCATAGCATTTAGTTGAGGCAAACTTAAGAGAAAGGATTTTTATTTTCCATTTGTAAAGGGGCATAACTCTAGAACGGTAAAAGTGATACCACCAAAATTCGAACTTGATCTGTGTTTTAAGATAATAAGCATAGTTTATAAGTTTCATAACATTTGGTTGAGGCAAACTAAAGTTAGGGTACGGGAACGAAAAATTTAGCAATTTTTCCATTTGTAAAGGGGCATAACTCTAGAATGGTAAAAGTGACGCCACCAAAATTAAAATTTGATCTGTGTTTTGTGGTAATAAGCATTGTGTATAAGTTTCATAACATTTGGTTTAGGCAAACTACAAGTTAGAGAACAGAAACCAATTTTGGGATGTAAGATTGTATGTACGTACGGACAAGGGTAAAAATTAATGCCCCCTTCACTACGGCAGGGGCATAAAATTGTGTATAATAGATTGTTGCGGAATGACGGACAAGGGTAAAACTATATGGCCCCGACAACTTTGAGGGGCCATAAAAAAATGTTTCAGTCTGTTGCTTCAAAAGATTATTGTGAAGAGTGCTAAATTATTTACTTCATTTATTTCCTGATAAAATGCACAATAATTTAAATCCAGTAAAGTTTTTTTTATACTTTCTGAAACCTAAAATGGATTTAAATTTCATTTAGGTACAATAGGATCTTGACATGCCTTAAAACTTTTCAAGTTGCACAGGTTTATGTGTACTTTGAATACATTTAAACCAGGTAAAGATGCATCACAAACATGACAAACTCAGTCTTCATATATGCGGAAGTGAGTGACTATCAATAGCGAACAGGTAAACAAAATACCTGTACAGGTGTAATTTCTTTAAACAAACTTACTGTAGCAACACACGATGTCGGAAACCTTAAATTTTCAATATGTACTTGGAATAATGACTTTACCTGTTTGAAATAGAAATACAGCTGCAAAACCAAAAATTAACAACAAGGTTGGATACAACCTATCCATAATGGCGCTTTCCTGTAAAACTGGTACCCTTATTTTATTTTTATTTTTATTTTAACAACAATAGAAGCCGAATAAACCAGTATAAAAGCGACATCTATATTTATCTGTGAACCAGTACCACACCGGTACCTGTCTAGACTGGTACCCGGTCGTTATTGAAAATCTTGATATTTGTATATTCCGAAAGCATACTGGATATTTTACGGAGGGAACCAACCTAGTACCTGTCAGGTCTAAGGGTCACTCCCGTGTGGGATAGAAAAAACTGAATATATTTACATAATATATATTAACAATGTTAAAATATTATCATCGACTACATAATTCTGAGAACATGTGATTATATGATGCATATATAATTTTATGTAGTAAAGAACTTCAAAATAATAAAGTGAATACATGGTTCTCAAGCATAGATTGTGTTTAAAAAAAAGCTGGGCATACAAACATCTAACTTAAAAACCAGTATCTACTCTTTCACAAAATTTATCAAAGATAATTTATATAAAAACTATCTCCATTTCTGGAAGGAAAATAGAAATAAAATATTACAATCAGATCAAGGCAAACTTAATACTTATTTTTCCTTTAAAACTCTATTTTGTTTCGAAAAATATTTGGATCTAAAAGATTTTAGATTAACCCTTATAGAACTGAAATGTTTGGCGCAAATTTGCGGCAAACAAAAAGTTTGCAGGAAAACAGAAAACTGGCCGAGTGTTTGCAGATGTTTGCCGCTAGCTGCAAACTTCCCTCAAACATTGCAGCTTTTTGCCGCAAGCTTGTGGCAAGTTTGCAGAAACATCAATGTTTGCAGTAAGATTGCAAGAAAGTTAAAGATAACAAGAAATGATTGTAACAGGATGCTGTTACGAAGTCTCCCAAACGAAGCTCCCATAATTCGTAATTCCCAGGGTCGCCTGACATTGGGCAACGTCCAGTAAAGTTATATGCATTAGTGATGCCTGGGGACTAACCTTGTATATTATTCAAATCATCTTGGCATGACAAACCAGAATATATATGGTTTAGGGGTGGGGATCTCGACCATTTACAAGATACTACTGAGAACATTGGGGGTGGGGAGGAACCCCTGGGGACTGGCCCTATACGTCATTCAAATGTTCATTACATGACGAACAGGAATATATATGGTTTAGGGTTGGGGATCTCAACCATTTACAAGATATTAGAACATTGGGGGTGGGGGGAACCCCTGGGGACTGACCGTATACGTCATTCAAATGTTCGAGACATGACACATAGGAATATATATGGTTTAGGGGTGGGGATCTCAACCATTTACAAGATATTAAAACTTTCTCAAATGGCACGGGGTCTGGATGACCCCTGGGACTAACCCTGTATATCATTCAAACCATCTTCGCATGACAACCAGAATATATATGGTTTAGGGGTGGTGATCTTGACCACTTACAAGATATTAGATATTTCTTAAATGGCAGGGGGTGGGGGAACCCCTGGGGACTAACCCTGTATTTCATTTGATGTGCTTTATCATGATAAACCAGAATATATATGGTTTAGGGGTGGGGATCTCGACCATTTACAAGATATTAGAACTTTCTCAAATGGCAGGGGGTCGGGATGACATCTGGGGACTAACCCTGTATATCATTCAAACCATCTTAGCATGACAAACCAGAATATATATGGTTAAGGGGTGGGGATCTTGACCACTTACAAGATATTAGAACTTTCTTAAAAGTTAGGGGGTGGAGGTGAACCCTGGGGACTAACCCTGTATTGCATTTGATGTGTTTTATCATGACAAACCAGAATATATATGGTTTAGGGGTGGGGATCTCGACCATTTACAAGATATTAGAACTTTCTCAAATGGCAGGGGGTCGGGATGACCCCTGGGGACTAACCCTGTATATCATTCAAACCATCTTAGCATTACAAACCAAAATATATATGGTTTAGGGGTGGGGATCTTGACCACTTACAAGGTATTAGAACTTTCTTAAATGGCAGGGGTGGGGGTGACCCCTGGGGACTAACCCTGTATTTCATTTAATGGGCTTTATCATGACAAACCAGAATATATATGGTTTAGGGGTGGGGATCTCGACCATTTACAAGATATTAGAACTTTCTCAAATGGCATGGGGGTCGGGATGACCCCTGGGGACTAACCCTGTATATCATTCAAACCATCTTAGCATGACAAACCAGAATATATATGGTTTAGGGGTGGGGATCTTGACCACTTACAAGATATTAGAACTTTCTTAAAAGTTATTGGGTGGGGGTGACCCCTGGGGACTAACCCTGTATTACATTTGATGTGCTTTATCATGACAAACCAGAATATATATGGTTTAGGGGTAGGGATCTCGACCATTTACAAGATATTAGAACTTTCTCAAATGGCAGGGGGTCGGGATGACCCCTGGGGACTAACCCTGTATATCATTCAAACCATCTTAGCATAACAAACCAAAATATATATGGTTTAGGGGTGGGGATCTTGACCACTTACAAGGTATTAGAACTTTCTTAAATGGCAGGGGGTGGGGTGACCCCTGGGGACTAACCCTGTATTTCATTTAATGGGCTTTATCATTTAGAACATTTTCAATTAAAAAGATTGTGTCTATCACAAACGGTTTTCAATTTATAATCATTTGAAAATTTAAAAAAATAAAATCCCATAGGGTTCTATAGTAAAACCCTCTTTTCTTTTTGCCCCTCAAAGTACCCCTTTATAAACCCCATTGCACAAACAAAACCCTGATTGCACTACTAGACATGTTAGTCTAACATATTGTGAAACCCTAAGTTAATCTGACAAGCGGTTTTGGAGAACGGGTGCGGACAAGTTCAAATTTAAAAGCGGCGGAAGAGGAAGAAGAAGAAGAAGAAGAAGAATAATAACAAGTAATCCTGTGTTAGGATGCTAACTCAAAAGTCGCCAAAACGGCCCCCAACCATTGTTCTGCTGTTTCCATGGTAACGGCAGCCATTTTGAAATTTCAAAGTCGGATAGCACATCTACACATGCCAGGTCACAATACTTACAAGTTTCATAAAAATTGGACCAATTTTCAAATTTAAGCATTCGTGTTTCCTTGGTTACGGTGGCCATTTTGGAAATTCCAAAGTCAAATGCCACATCTACATAAGACAGTCAACATTTGTGTAAAGTTTCATTAAGTTTGAAGCATTTTGAATTTTTTGACATTTTTGCAGTTTCCATGGTAACGGCAGCCATTTTGAAAATTCTAAAGTCGGATGGCACATCTACACATGACAGATCACATTATTGTCAAGTTTCATAAAGATTGGACCAAATCTAGATTTTTCGCATTTTTGTTGTTTCCATGGCAACGGCGGCCATTTTGGAAATTCCAAAGTCAAATTCCAAATCTACATACACTCGTTAACATCTCTGTAAAATTTCATTAAATTTGAAGCATTTTAAAAAAAAAATCACATTTTTGCAGTTTCCATGGTAACGGCGGCCATTTTAAAAATTCCAAAGTCGAATTACAGCTACATATGGTGCTACCTGTAATAATCTATCATTATATAACATAAAAGTACATAGGAATAATTCAACACTATCACATGACTAATCACATGACTATTCTTCTAGAATAATCAATGAAAATTGACCCCCTAAAATAATGCCAAGATGACCCCGGGCTGAAATAAAAAATGTGGAATGGCCACCTGGACATCGGTCTCTTGTATTACACAAAACTTAAAGGTTCTACCAGTAGCGAATCAATAGTCGAAAAATGACCCCACCCATGTTCCGGCCCCCAAAATAGTGCCAAGTTGACCCCCATTTGAAATAAAAAATAGTGAATGCACTCCTTGGGATACTACCCCATCATCATACCAAATATAAAGTTTCCATCATTTAAGGCTTGGAAGAAAATGGTCGGACAAATTAGGGTTAATAATAATAATAATAATAATAATAATAATAATAATAATAATAATAATAATAATAATAATAAAATTAATAATAAGAAACGGGACAAAAACATAAAGTCCCCAAAACTCCGTTTTGGCGACTTAATAATAAGAACTGAGCAAAAACAATAAGTCTTCCCAAACTTCGTTTGGGAGACTTAATAAAGAATGTTTGCCGCAAGATTGTAGAAATCTTTGACCATTGTATATGTTTGCCGCAAGATTGCAGAAAACTTTGACCATTCTATATGTTTGCCAGAACATTGCAAGAATTACACAATATTGCCTGGGCATGTCTAGTTGGCACTTCCTGGAAGCTAACAATTTGAAATTGTGGGCTAGGTCATATGTTGATTGTGTTTGAGAAATGTTACATATACTGAGAGATCAAGGAGGCATTTTGGTTCAATGATATAGGATATTCAATATGTAATTTTGTAAGTACAAATTATTCATAGAACTGTTGATTTAATAAAATAATTAATGTCACCATCATACATAATTAAGTTAACAACTATGTGTTTGAAATACTCTAGCTATTATATAAGTTTGAATTTTGTAACTGATTAAATGTATACTGTTTCATAAAGTTCATTTCAATTCTGTAATGCAATTATTACTTAGCTTTATGCTCACTACACATTTGAGATTTATCCATTTTTATTTCTTAATACCGGTATATGATATCATTTGAGAATGACCCCCGCCCCCTTTTTAAAAAATGAAATGCATGTATGTATTTCCTTAAATCTCAGATAAGTTTGCAAGTATTCTTTCAGTGACTGTTTGTATATAGGCAGAAAGTTCTTTTTTTAAAATTTTGATGTGTAATTTGAAAGAGATAAATTGAATGTGTCTATACACATAACATTGGTATATGTGTAGTTCCTGTAAGTTTGCCGCAAGTTTGCAGCAAACAATTGCGGCAAGTTTGCAGCAAATTTAATTTGCATAATTATGTTTGCTGCAAGCTTGCCTGAACCTTCAGTTGCATGGTAAAATGGTTGCGGCAATGTTTGCTGCTAGTTTGCTGCAAATGTTTGCCACAAGGCTTATTTTTCGGTAAGGGAAGGCAATCAATCTGTAAGATTTGAAT